TTGGCAAAAAAATAACTGGACATTAGTCACAATGGCGCAGGGAGAGGCTTTGGGACTGTCGGTACCGTCTTGGTGAGCCAAGGGGCACATGGAGTCCAGCTGGAGAAGCCAGGCAGGGTTAGGGCTACTTACGGGCAGAAAATGCCTTGCAACAAAAGTAGGACTTGGGTAACGTTAAGCATCTTTGGCTAGTCCATGCATAAGCTGTATGTGCAGACAAAATCAGGTTCAAAACTAACATAACTAAATTTGGCAAGTGGAATTCAGGAGAAACAGCAGGTGAGGAGCATGCACTGATTACAGTGTGTTACTGCACCCATCACATGACAAACCACCTTAGGGATGAGAACCTGAGTGCAGCCATGTGGCAGGTGATACCTAAGCACCACACCAGTCCGAATGGACCAGTGTGAGTTTTTCCAGTGGCTGGAGTGTCAATCCTGCTACCAACCCCCAAGTTTTTCCCTGTAAGTTGGAGGACCTCCTTGCCGGGCTGGATGTAGATTAACATCATATCCAGGACAAAGCAACTACAGGTTAAGGTTGCTCAATGGTCCAGTGGAGTAGAATTACTCTGGGCATTCAGGGGATTTAAACCAGCAACCTTCCAGTTGCTGGCACAGATCCCTAGCCCCAGAGCCACCACTCCACCCACCATGTAATGTAAGGTCTAAGATGAATTGTCTGTTCTACATAGAAAAATAAATGGTATGAATATTTGAAGATTGTACTGCATGTTTTGGAGTGGATGAAGACCCACCTTCTGGATTATCAAAAAGAGGGACTGTACACCTTCACTGAATGGACCAAAAACTGTATTTTAGTAAGGACAAACTTTCCAAATGAGGAAGAAATCCATATGAGGCCACATACCCTGCCTCTTTTCAGTGTCTACCCTGCCTCTTTTCATCACCTGCCCTGACTCTTTTCAGCACCTGCCCTGACTCTTTGCATTTCTGTAGCTTTTCCAAGCACCGTACATCCTTCCATAGCCTGAGAGAATTGGCTAACTCTCTGCATTTCTGTAGCTTTTCCAAGCACCGTACATCCTTCCATAGCCTGAGAAATGTAGTTTAACTGGGCCAATGTTTTTGTATTG